MAACCAAAAATTCCGAAAAAAACTATGTTACGCAGAAAAATAAACTGAACAACTTTTGCCTAGGGGTCACATCGAAATTATTTACCAAATTTAAACTAAAAATTTAAAATGAACAAAATATATACTTAATGAGTCAAATAATGACCATCCTCATATTTTTGCCTGTATTTTGCACAGACCCGGGCATTATATGGCACTCATTCGTGCAGCTGCCCAGTGGAAACTGTGGCATGGTGGGACAATGATTCGGGCTATTTTCCATATAATATAAAAATATTATAAATGAATTTCTGTGTGCATTACCTTATCCTACTTTATTCTGGATTATTGATCGACCGACTCGTGTGACACCTGTCGGGACCGGGACGTGGTGCGACTTGGCTGCGTGCGGAATTCGTCACCTATGCCATTGCCATTATCAAACTATTGCAGCCGTCGCCGTCTGTGCCGAAGGGTGTCCAACATTTCCTCCTTGTACACATCCATATCACCCAGATAGTCATTGTCCCTTTTGTGCGCAAGGACGCAATCAGAACTGCATGATGCCGCACTGTGATGAACGTCGTCCTGCTGTTTTGTTTTTTGACATGTGGACATCAGCATGTCCTTCCTTTGTCAGGACTGTTTTGATGGGATGGGATGGTCCGTGCTAGCCGTCCTGCTGAATGCTGTGCTGGCGCAGCTCTCTTCCTGATGGGTATCCTTGTGAACATCCACATCATCCTCTGCGTGCCTCCCTGTCCTATCTGCCGGGGTGGGGTGGGGGCTCCTCTTGCTCTTCCTGACCGGTCAATAGAATTAAGCGATCAGGAGCAACATTTTTTTTTTTTTTTTTGTTTTATCGGAAAAGAAAAAAAAAAAAAAAAAAAAAAAAAAAAAAAAAAGATACGTAGTAAAAGAAAAAAAAGATAAATAAAAAAAAAAAAAAAAAAAAAAAAAAAAAAAAGGAAAAAATATGTTGAAAACTTTGTAGTGACAGTGGCAGTTGGTTTATCTGTGGGATGTGTGTCATTTGCTTTCTTCCTTTGTTTTTTTCTGTGACTTTTCTCTTTCTCCTGCCTCCTCTGCAAGGTCTGGTTTCCTCCTCCTCCTTCTCTTTACCTCTCCTTTTTGCCTTTTGGCTGCGTGCAAGTGCCGTCCTTGTGACACGCACGGGGATGGGGGAAGCGGTCGGGTGGGTATCGGGTGGGCTCAACCTGTCATCCAAGTGTGGTGTTATGGGTGGTTTGTGTCGAGCTGGACACCGACACCGCAGCGGTCGGGTGGGTATCGTGGCCTGTATCGTTTGGTTCCAATTTGGAATGTGGTCTCCTGGGCGTAGTGGATTTAAGAGACTTGTTGGTTCTTGAGGCGGAGGTCGGCGGTTCGAATCCGTGCTTGCACGGAAGAGGGGACTTGGGCCCAGATGTACGGATCTATAAGTACTGTGTATGAACCAACCATGTGCTCTCTCTCTCTCTCTCTCTCTCTCGAGAGAGAGAGAGAGAGAGAGAGAGAGAGAGAGAGAGAAAATGTGAGGAGGGGGGGGGGGGGGGGGGGGGGGGGGGGGGGGGGGGGGGGGGCAGGAGGGGGAAGGGTTGGGGGGCAACAAGTGGTGGTGAAAGAGGGACACAACTCAGGAGGTGGAGTAGTGTGCCGCATGCAACCGATTCCGGATTTTTTTATTTTTTATTTTTTTATTTTGGAACCGATTCGGGTTTTGTTTTTCCTACCCCTCGTTTTGGTCGAAAGAAAAAGAAATATAGCAATATGATTCTTTTTCGAAAAATAAGTATAGCAATATAAATACATTTTACATTTTCTGGGGAAATAAAATATTTCATTCTGGGAGAAGGACGACATGGGGTGGTTGAGAGCAGAGAGGGAGGGGGGGGGGGNGGGGGTTGGAACAAACTCTTTCTGTAAAAAGAAAAAAAAAAGAATCCGAAAAAGGAAAAAACTTCAAAAAAGTTTTAGAAAACTTAAAAAAAGGAAAGAAAAGAAAAACAACAATTCATGCTGTTAACTGTTAACTTTGTCAAGTACTAACTGTGAAAATCCAAAATAGTGTGGACATCAATGAAAAACCATTTATGCTGTTTATTCTTGAAGGTGCAAAACTCTGAAAAGTTCAGAAAACGGAAAAAAAAAAAAAAAAAAAAAAGTGGAATTCTAAGTGTGATAGATGTTGACTTCCAAGTGTGAAAACAGTTCCAGTGGACTTCCAAGTGTGAAAACAGTTCCAGTGGACTTCCAAGTGTGAAAACAGTTGCAGTTGACTTCCAAGTGTGAAAACAGTTTACTTACTGAAACAGCTGTTATCCTGAAATGAATGGCATGGATCTGCCTGATCTGGCGGCACAGATGAGCGATCCAGTAAGATCCGGAAGACTGCATCTGTGAATGGTCTGACCGATCCGCGGCTGCAGAATGGGTCAGCATCTGGAAGTGGCACCGCGGGCCCGGGACCGGGTAACATCGCGGAACATGGCGGTGCGCCCGCCTTTCAGACTTCTGCCGCCGTCTTCTCCCATCGCCCTTCTTCGCACCCGGTGCAGGAAGCTCCTCCGCTTCGTCCTCCTCCTCATCATCATCTTCGGCCTCTTCCTCCTCCTCCTGTTGCAGTGGCTGCTCCTTCCCTCCCTCCCTGTCCTCCTCCTCCTCCTCCTCCCAATATGCCATCTCAACCGCCTGGCGTTGCCTCCAGAGGGCAGTCGAATGGGAGGTTGGATGCGAAGGGCGCTGCTGCTATTGGCGGCGATTTCGCCCGGGAACCGTTTTCAAGGGCGGGCTTGGGCGGCAGCGATTTCGCAGGCGACAGTGGTCCCGGGCGGCCACAGGGCGGAGTGGTCGCAGCGCCCGCATCCGCAAAGCCCGATCCTTTTCGAATGCAGAGGCATGCCACTGCTCACCCTCGCCCTCTCCCTCGCACCTCCCCTCCTCTTCCTGCCTCGGTGCCTTTGCCTCCTTCGTCGTCCTCGCATCCTGTGCCCGCGCCTTCTGCGCTTAAATCCCAGCAGCCGAACCTTCCAAATGGGAGAGTGGAGACGAAGGCCTCAAGGAAACCGCCGTTTCCTCGGATGTTGCCAGAGGCGGCGGAGCCTTCTTCCGCGCCTTTGTGGACTGCGGGTGGCGCCGTCGCCCGGTCCCAAGAGCCGAGTGGAACCTCCAGCAGCAGACCGCCCGATCTTCCCAGGCCCCTCGTGAAGACCATCCCTGTTCCCAAGATACCCCCCACAGTAAAGCAGCCAGCAGTGGTGAAGATGCCGTCGCCCCCCTCGGCTCCGCCGAACGAGCTGAAGAGTTCTGCAGCCGTACAAGCTTGGAGGTTTACAGCAGGTGCGACGGATGTCCGTGGCCCGCTCAATGGTACGACAAATGGAGCTGCAGCAGTGAATGGTGATTCCAAGGAGAGTTCCTTGGTGGGAAAAGAGGATCTGATGAGTGTAGAAGGGACGGGGGGCGAAGAGCGGAAGAGGGAGGGCAAGGGGGATTGGAAGGAGGGAGGGGAGGAGGAAAAGAGGGAGGGGAAGAGGGATGGAAAGAAGGACAAGAGGGACGGAAAGAAGGACAAGAGGGAGGGAAAGAAGGAGAGCAAAAAAGAGAGGAAGGACCGCGGCCGGGACCGGGATCGGAATCGAGAGCGAGAGGGCGAAGCGAAGAAAGGAGATGGTGGGGAGGGCGATGCGATCCCCACTAAGGTCGCTGGAGAAGATGGGGGGAATTCCGCCGCGGCTATGGTTGTGGAGGACGACTGGCTGCATCCGAAGAAGGTCCGGATACCTTTGTGGAAGAGAGATGTGAAAAAGAAGGATCCTCCTCGGGCGCGAATGGGAGTGGGAGTGGGAGAGGGAGGGGGAGGGGGAGGGGGAGGGGGAGGAACACACAGCAGCTCAGGGCTAGTATGGGCTGACCCCTTGTTCCTAGAAGAAGTGGGTATCTTTGCTCTGCCCTACGTAATACCCTTCTGATTGTGGCGGGTCTGCCTTTTCTCTCTCTCCACCCCTCCCCCCTTCCCCCCCCCCGCCCGTCTCTCTCTCTGTGTCGCTGGTATCTCGCACGTATGCCTTCTGTCTCTTCCTTCCCCCTTCTCTCTCTCTCTCTGTGGCTGTTATCTTGCGCATATGGACGTTGTGTGTCATTCTTTTTTTGTGGTTTCAGGGGGGGCGGGCGAGGGGGGAGAGGGGGGAGAGGGGGTTGATGGTGAAGGATTCATTTGACGTGATGAATCTGAAGGGTTTTTTTGTTTAGCTTATGAGCGTTTGTGACTTTTTCATAGTGTTAGGGTCATCTCATCTCTGACTATAGGATCAGTTTCTGTTGATGTGGTATCCATCTTGGCTTAACCCCAACTGAACCAGAGTTTGGGCAGAGCAAGCTGGCAAACAGGCAGGCAGGCAGGCAGGCAGGTAGGTGGGCAGATTTGGCGGGTAGGCAGCGAGTGATCAGACAGGCCTCTGTATCCGTTGATTGATCGGTCACTCAGCCTGCATGCTGCACTTCTGTGTCGTGCAAAGCGGGGTGGGTGGAGCTCTAATCAATCAATGGATCACTCAATCAACCAATCAACCAACCAATCAAGCAATCAATCGAATCAACCAATCAATTCGATCAAATCAACCAATCAGTCGATCAGTCGACCTCGTCCTTGTGCAGATGGCGTTAACCCTAGTCTGGACATGTCTGTAGTTCTTTTAACATAGTATTTTTTAGGTAGTAGTTATTGTTTAGTTAGTGCAACTCATTCGTGTAAGGTGCTTGCGGGAGGTGTCCTGTATGGAGCAGAGATCTGTAGATTGTTTGTGGCCATCATTGAGCTTTTATCCGGTCTCGTCTTTCCTAAATTGGATGTTGCCG